CAATCACAAACGTTTACCCATCAATCATGATATAGATTAGATTGTTAACAATTTAAAACTGATTTGTCCATCAATCATGATAGATCAGATTGTTGATAACTACAAATAAATGTGCCCAACCATTGTGATGTATTAAATTGTTAAAAATTATAAGTAGATCACCAGTTTGTCTTAATTTATCAAATCATAATGCAAACTTTAAATAGACTCTTCATTGAGGTGACTGAAATAAATATGATTTATGGATGTGGTGACATCAAGTTAGAGACATGAGTCAAATGGTAAGCAAATATGTTCATTAAATTGCATGAACATTAAGACTCTAGGAGATGCATGTTAATTGCCAAATAGACATTTTCATTAGACAATGCAAATCTAATATGAACAATTGGTCTAAAGATGTGATATGGAAATAGAAAAATGAACCTATCTATTCTTCAATGCCACCTCTATGATAGGATGAGAAATGAGTTGTTGATGTGCACTTGTTGTTGTGTTTAAATGCACATTATTTAATAATATTTATAACTAAGACTTAATAAAATATTATTATAGAAGTATGTCTCAAGTCGAACACAAGGAGATTGATTAATCCCTTGTGAAAGCTAATTTAATTTATATATAGAGTGACTTTAATATTTTATCTCTATTTAATATAAATAATAAAATAAAAAGATGAGGTCTGAAGAATAAAAGAAGAGAAGTAGAGAAAAGGAGAAAAAGAAAGAAGAGAGAGCTCTCATGAGAGAGAGAAGGGATGAACTCTTCAAAAGGGAGAGTAAGAGAGAGGAGGAGAGAAATCTCACGTGAGATGGAGAGAGAGATAAAAGTTTCACGAGAGAGAGAGATGAGAGAGAGGAAGATCGATCGAGAGAGAAAGAGAAGGAGATCAATAGAGAGAGAGGGATAAAAAGGGAGATATCTCATGAGAGATGGAGAGAAAAGAGAGGTTTCACGAGAGAGGGAGAGAAAGAAATAAAATTAAAATAAAGAAAGAGAGAAATACGGTCAACCCATTTCTACAGTGACTATTATTCTCGACTCAATATGTACTCAAAGATTCACACACATGATATGAGGTCAGCCGTGAATGTCTCCAGTTTGTTTTAACAATTAAACGTTCATTAATCAGCCTTTAATCTTGGTAATTTAGTATTAGAAAATAGAAAAATACTCGTTATTCTTAGGACACTTAAAATATGAATACATTGAAATTTAATTGTGAAAATCAATAAAAAAATAAGTTGAAAATGATCTTAACTTGATCTCAAACAAGTGTTGGAGGATTTATAAGAAGAATGAAGATCATTTATCAAGTTTTGAATTAGTTCTACTCATTTCAATCGAAATGTGTATGAAATGAAAATAATTTGTCTTAAAATATAAATAAATGATAAAAATAGGTAAGTAAATATTGAAAGTAGAAAATAAATTGTTGCCCAAGTTTGATTTATCTCTAGGACAACTAGAGACAGGTGTGGTGACTTGGTTTTGTTCAGACATGCCACACCATGTCAAAAGTCGCAGAAGTATCATCTGGAAATGCTACACCGCTTGTTGGAGAGATCCGCCGAAAGAGAGGTCAACCATGTTGTCATCGTCGTCTGGGGGAAGAAATAAAGAGTTGACTACTCATCGGAGGCCTAAAGTGTAGTTAGGGGAGGAAGGAATGAGCTTGCTGATTGCTAGAGACATCAATCGCACAAAAGGAGGAAAGAACAAATTATTGTATTCGTGACTACCGTCAGGATTTAAAGGTAATCAAATATTTCTTTTTTATCAAATAATAGTTTATTATTATCTTTATATCCCTAACAATGATACATGTGAGAGCTTAGGTTCCTAATATCATGGCGCTTCGTGAATCGCTAGATCAAATATGCTTAGTCATGTGGCGCATTGAGTGACATAGGATCAACTAGCCACAAACCAGTATCAATCGAGAACTTAAGTCCCTAGTACCATGGCGGCTCGTCATTTGTTGGATCATCTTGTAAGGTTATGTGCGTGTTGAGCGGTGTCGGATTCACGAATCGTCGATAGTTTGCTTTATGCATCTAGTATTGAGGCAGCTTGCTAGTTCTAGGATTTGACTCATTTGATGATGTGGCTTGCTGAATACTGCTAGATCACACTACACTCCAGATGGCCATCTGAGATGGACGAAAACTTTTAGTCCCACATCAAAAATATTATAGAAGCATGAGCCAAATATAAATCAAAGTTACAGCTTGTCATCAGAGATCCTATCTCTTGAAATAAAATAATGCATAGGACCATCTTGGGAGAAGGCAAAAAGGTGGTCAGCCCTCACACGCACATGTGTGTATGGACGCTCCTTGCCCCATACTAGTTGGTTACCAAGATGTGGAAGGAGAGTGACACACACATGCACAGAGTGAGTCCTTCGTCACTCGAGCCCAGCTTGTGGCTCCCTCGGTCTCTGTCTACCCACTCAACCATAGCGCCCCTCTCGGTCAACTATTGAGTGCTAGCTTGCCAACGGATAAAATATTTTTATATTTTTAAATAATCTAAAATTATGCTAAGTATTTTAACTTTAGACTTCTAAAATTAAAAAAAAATCCTATATTTATTATATAAGTTTAAAAAATAAAATAAAATAAAAACACTAATTAAAACACAAAAATCTAGCTTTAATAGTTAGCCTACTTGGAGAGATCATTTGCTATCCCAATGCACCTATTATCATGTATAAATCAAGTCAAGAATTATAAAACCTTAAAAAAAGGAAAAATAAGAATACAATTTGTACAAGGAGAACTAGAAAGAAAAAAAAAGAGGGTTGGACACTAGCATCTGCACCTAGTCACATGCTCATCCATGCCTCATTTTATTTGAGGCCATGCACCTATCTGCACATCCATGGGGGTGTTGACCCATATGCTTGTTTATATACATGTTGTGTGCTTATTTGTGTTAACATATATTAATCTATTGGCATATGAGTGCCCATCATCACACTTAAATCTTATGCCAACACATATATACCTAGTCTCATGCCTATTCTCATTCACTCATGTCTACTCATGAATATATCTTGCTCTAAATATCATAGTGAACCATAACTCTCACCCATTCAAGTCACGCATTTTCTACTCTATTCCTTAGCTAGAATTACTCAACTCAGGATTTATTTTTAGTTAAGTCACTTATATATAATACATTATCTTGTGCCTTCTTACTTTCTTCCATCATCTCAAATAGATTGCCCTAACTTTATAATCCTTTCATAGCTAATCAAAAACTATGATTCTTATGCATTATTTTTTTTAATGTTAGTATGTATGACTTGTTTATTTTTACATGTTTCTTATGTTGACTCTTGTGAGTCTTTACAGATGGATGGTTTGATCTTAAGCGATCATTGGTTGACACTATAGTTTACTATCTTGTCTTGTATCATATGACTCTTATATAACTCACAATGACCAAGTTTGAGCCTTTGTATTACGTTTATGTTAATTAATACAACTTTAATGGAAACCATAAGAGAAATAAAAGAGGGGGAGGGAATAAATATGTATTTTTAAAATTTAAATTAAAATATAATTTCTTATCATATTTGGAACTAGGTTAGCCCTCACCAATGTTAGCCCTCACCTAATCTACTTCAAAGTAATAGGTCTATATTACCTTGAGTAATATAAGTACTCAAATACAATACAAGAAATCAAAAAATAAATTATTATAATTTAGCACATTAGTTCTTTTCACATACAAGGCATGATGGTGTAGAAGCTTCTTTGGATGATAGGTTACTTGAATGCTTAATTAAGAATATGAAAATCTTCTACTTTCTATATTTGTTTATGAGGAGTTGTACCCCTCAGCATTCTTCTCACCATGGAGTTGACTCACTTCCAACTAAGAAGTTTAAAATAACTATTGAAATTAAAATATATCAATAATTTAATTTTGTATCCACTTCGATGACATTGTGTCTCATATTCTTGTCTTGTGAGTCTACTCACTCCATTTAAGTGATAACTTTGTCATAATAGGTTCTAAGTTTTTTTAGCAAAGTCAACTTACTTTCTTAGTTATTGATAACATTTAATTTCCTTCATATAAAGTGAAATTAATTCAGTATTTTGTCTTTTTTACTCAAGAGGAATGAGTTATTTCAAAGTAGTTTCCTTCACATAAAGATTTTATACCATAAAATAAAATCCAAAGTTTATCCTAAATTTGTGGAGATCATTTTGAGATAACAATAAATGTTATAAATTTGCAAGCAATGCCTTGTTGAATTCGGTTGAAATTGTATATTAAAAACCTATGATAATTGCGATTCATTAGAAATATGAAATCCAAAATTATAAAAAATAATTTAATTGTGTCCCTAGAAAAAGTGACCAACATGTGACTAGGCATCAACCGTATGCACTTATGCATATAAAAACATGAATTATAGATTTATGTGACGTGCCATGCTTTGAAAAGCAGACAAATTCTCTCCAAGCTCTTATTGTATACCATCCCATGCTATGTTTTAAATAGCATGCTATCCTATATTTACAGTTCTCTATAGTAAGAGATTTTCTTTCAAAAATTATTAGCAAAGCTCTAAAATGTAGCATAGGGTGTCTCAATGTTGACCGAATTAAAGCTACTAGAAAGTATGTTGTTAAAAATATTGGTACGTTGGTGAAATGTTTTAAATAAATTATTTAACAAAATTCTGAGCCATGGGGGGGAACAAAAAGACAATTCATGGGTTAACAGACGACAGTCAATGAGGGGGGATTTCGTTGAAATGTTGTAGATTTCTTGGGTAGTAAGATAGCCGTGGGGTCCACATGAATTTTTGCCTCTAAAGACGTGTCTCTTGTTTGCGCTGAAGCCTTCCCACATTCTTTATAAGGATTGCGGATTAGGGTTTAAATCTTCCTTCACCCTCCCTGTCTTCTTTAGGCTGCCCCCTGCTCTATCCAGCTCCCTCTCCTCTCCCTTCGTCAAACCATTTCGTGTTGAACATGGTGAGCTCCCCCTCCCAGGTCCTCTACGTCCTTCTGTTTTCTTCCTCGCTGCCTTCTTCGAAGTTTTGTCGCCCTCCTCAAATCTTCCGGCTCTGTTTTTCCTCGCGCGACGATCTGCGCAGGGCTCTGTCCTCGGCTTGTGATCAATTCAATTTTGGCTCTTAATTTTGTTGATTATGAAAATCGTGTCCAGGTTCTCCCCAACGATATCGACCTGCTGCACCCACCGCAGGAGCTCGAGAAGAGGCGACACAAGTTCAAGCGCCTCGTCCAGTCGCCGAATTCCTTCTTCATGGTATGAAGATTAATCTGATATGCCGCGCGAATAGGACGTTACAGATGTCTCTGTTAATGGACTTCTCGATCTTTCGATCATTTCGGTTTGTAATTTTTAGCGAATCTGAGCCTTATTTTTTCTTTGTCATTCCTCTTTTTCTTCATCGCTTCCTAGGATGTCAAGTGCCAGGGTTGCTTCACCATGTGAGTTTTCCTACTTCCGACTCACTTCTGTCTTTCCTCGTTTTCAAAATTCGAATATCTTCGATTCCTACTTTGCCGAATCTTACTCCGAGCTACCCTCGTCTTCGGCGGTGGATCGTTCTCGTTAATGATGCAGAACCACCGTCTTCAGCCACTCGCGGACGGTGGTAGTGTGCGGAGGTTGCCAGACCATCCTGTGCCAGCCCACCGGTGGCAAGGCCAGGCTCACCGAGGGCTGTTCCTTCAGAAAGAAGGGAGACTAGAGGAGAGTCGAGCCGTCCTGTGCAGATTCACTCGATGCTCTGCTGCTCTAAGGGCCAGTGATTAGACCATGAGGAGCGAGGGCCTCCGGCGCCGCCAAAATCCTTGAATGGCTGTGGTTTCTCTGTTTCGCCAGTTCTTCTGTACAATAATTTCTTCCTGATTCTCCATGATCTCCGTTCATCTACGAGATAAATCTACCACCTTTTCTCCATTTCTTGTGATTTCCGCCCTCGGCTTTGTTTGGTACATGATCGACCCGCTCGATTTCTTCCCACCACGGTTTAACTTCGGTGAGCTACAAATTCGTAAGCCCACGTGGGCTTCTTCAATGAAAAGAATTTACGTAATGCTAACAAAGTTTAGCCTTTTTTCTTTAGATCCCTTATTTCACTCCGATAGTATGAACTATAGATAAGTATATGCATTTCCATACTATAAACTATAGATAAGTAGAACTCCGATAGCCTATCTCGATGCATGCAAAGGAAATGGATGCATTTCCATACTATAAACTATAGATAAGTAGAATAGATAGAGCATAATACTAGATTATGTCACATTATGGACCCCCTGTTCATTCATGACATGGATTCGGGTGTGATCATGGAAAATATTTTCCTCGAGAGAACCAACATATCTTCCATGTGGCGGATGAAGTCATATATACACATAATCCATCCTCTTCAGCGAATCTACTTCAACTATTCGTATATCAAAGTATCAATAAATAATACAATACTTCAAAGTTGAAGAAAAATATCTTCTGCCTTTATCCATATGAAAATATGTATGTACATATTTTCTCATGTATAGTTTGATGATCATCACCAATGCTATAATCATCATCTCTATTGATTCAGTTGTCCATTCATAAAATGGATTATCACGCTTGCTATTTTTGTATTAATTTTTTTTATTAAGATCTCATTAGACATTTTAATTTTAGTATTTTATTAAATTTATTTTTTTGTATCAATAAAATAATAATAATAATTTACACAATATAAATGGTTTTGACCTGGAGAAAGTCCACTGTTCAGTTTGAGGCTCTCCTCCCACTCGTGCATGCAATTGAGTCTTACCACCCCTGTAGACAGCGGAGGGGGGAAATGGCTCTTTGACTTTGAGTGAAGGGCAGAAGGGTCCTTTCAGGTTGTCTTACAATTTTCGTTACTAGTGTGGAGAATTAGCACCGATTCAGTGGACTACCGCTCGCTCGCTCGCACGCTCGCAAAACCAGCAGACACGTGCTTCTCCTCTGTTTCGAGGCCGTCTTACGTGCTTTTTCGCCTTATCCGACGCCGGCGCCGAGGTGAATGCTCGCGCCGGCACCGGCGCCGGTGCGGCGGTGGCTGTGTCCGTCGACCCTTCTCATTCCTCTGCGTCAATGCCGGAACCTGAAGCTTCTGAAGGCGGCGCACGCGCTGCTCACTACGTCGGGCCTCCTCGCCGCCTCGCCTGACCCTTCTTCTCGCACGCTCTCCCGGCTGCTGTATGCCTTCTCCCTGGTCGAACCAATCCCAGCGCCCTCCTCCGCGGAGTATGGCCTTTCCATCTTCCGCCAGATCCCCCGCCCCTCCACCTTCCCCCACAACGTCCTCATGAGAATCTTCACCCTCCTCGCCTCCCCTCTCGCCGCTCTCCGCGTGTTCCGCGCCATGCGCCGCCGCGACGTGCCGCCCGACCTCCACACCTTCCCCTTCGCCCTCAAGGCCAGCACGCGCCTGGGCTGCCCCCGCCTCGGCCGCGCCCTCCACGCGCAGAGCCTCAAGGTCGGGCTCGGCGGGGATGAGTTCGCCATTAACGCACTGATCAGCGTCTACGCGAGCTCCGGGGCCATGTCAGACGCGCAGCACCTGTTCGACGGAGCTCCCCGCCGGGACGTCGTCTCCTACAACGCGCTCCTCGACGGGTACCTGAAGGCCGGCGAGACGGATCGAGCGCGGGGGATCTTCGAAAGGATGCCTGAGAGGGACGTCGTCTCCTACGGGACCCTCCTGGCCGGGTACTCGCGGACCCGCCGGAGCGAGGCGGCGCTGGAGCTCTTCGAGGCGATGATGGCTGCGGGGGTAGAACCCGACGACGTATCCCTGGTGGCCGCCCTCTCCACCTGTGCGCAGCTGGGAGCCCTGGGCCGCGGCAGGGCCGTGCACGCCTACATCGAGAAGCGCCGCCGCAGGGGGAGGCCCAGCGGTGTCTTCCTCACCACCGCCCTCGTCGACATGTACGCCAAGTGCGGACGCATAAACGCCGCTGTGATCGTCTTCCGGCGGAGCCCGGAGAAGAACGTCTTCACCTGGAACGCCCTCATCGTCGGGCTCGGCATGCACGGCCACGGCGAGCACTCCCTGGAGTACTTGCGCGAGATGCGGCTCGCCGGAGTCCGCCCTGACGGCGTGACCTTCCTCGGCGTCCTCGCCGGCTGCAGCCACGCCGGCCTCGTCGACGCTGCGCGGCAGCTGTTCGCTGGCATGGTGGCCGTCCACGGCGTCGAGCGCGAGCTCAAGCACTACGGGTGCATGGCCGACATCCTCGGGCGCGCCGGGATGATCGGAGAGGCCATGGACATGATCGACGGCATGCCGATGGCGGCGGACGCGTACGTATGGGGCGGCGTCCTGGGGGGTTGCCGCATCCACGGCCACGTCGAGGCGGCGGAGGTCGCTGCCGCGCGGCTCCTGGAACTCAACCCTGAGGACAGCGGGATCTACTCCGTCTTGGCCGACATATATGCCAACGCGAGGAGGTGGGAGGACGTCGCCGCCGTGAGGAAGCTGATGGAGGAGAGGCAGGTGCGGAAGAACATCGCCCATAGTACCATCCAGGAAGAGATGTTCCTGGGCACTTCACCTCTTCTGCTGTCTCAAGGCCCATGAGTCCCCAGGCTAGGCCCCAAAATGGGTAGTCTCTGCAAACATCATGGTCTCCGATAGCAAGGCATTCACAAAGTCAACTCCTTGAAATCACAGGAGTCAACTTCACCTCAGAGCTGTCCAGAGGCAAAAGGTTGTGCATAATTTACACCCCCGCAATAATTTTTGGGGGAGTTTTTTCTCTTTTTTTTTGAGGTGGGGGTTGAGGTGGGTGGGTGGAGGGAGTCAACCCTCCCATTCAGTAAAGGCAGCACAACTTTGGCAAGCAGTCGACGCGCCGTCTAATTCAGTTCTTGTAGCAGCTTCTCCAGGGCGTCGTCGGCAAGTGGCACGTGATAGCACTCCTGGCCCTCGGAATTCCTCCTCACCTTCACAAGGTCGTGGTCCTTGAACTCCGCCAAGTGCGACTTCAGCGTCACCAGGCTGCTCACCAGAAACCGCTCGCGGCACATCCCGTAGAGAGCATTCCCCGGCATCCCTGAACGAGAGAGAGAGGGAGAGAGAAAGAGATGTCGGTAGAGAAGATGCGTCAAGCAAGAGAGAGAGAGAGAGAGAGCAGGGACTAACCCTCTTCCTTAGGATGGGCCAGTTGATACTCGGCGAGGGCCTTGAAGACGCTCTGAGCATTCGGTGTGAGGCTCTGAAGGACGGTTAGGGCTGTCCTTGCAGTCTGCGCGGCATGGCCGCTGGCGAGGACGAGGGGGAAGAAGACCCCCTCTGCTCTGTACGGCTCGAACGTCGGCACGTGGTGCCAGCACCACCTGAACTCCCTGTGAACCATCTTCTTGTCCCACACTGCAACCAAATCACCCAAACCATCACAACACATTATCCTCTTCACTCTCTCTCTCTCTACTCATCAACAACAACATCATTAGTGGAGTTGCTAGAAGTACTGACGGAGGGGGGCGTTGACATGATCAACAGACGCAATCATCCGGACGGCAGAGCAAGCAGCAATTCGTCCCAGATATCGCTGGGACTCAGTGTCCCGCAGGGCGGGGCCGTCGATGTTGTGGACGACCAGGCACACGAAGGACTCCACATCTTTTGTGGGCTTTTCGTCCAGGGAAGAGATGAGATCTTCCATGGATTGCGCGCCAGAAGGCTCCCTAGCTGAGCTCCTCCGCCTGCCGTGGGACTGGGCCCACCAGAGCTCTGCTAAAGCAAGCACAACCTGCGGCAGAAGATCCATCTCAGGGGAAAAGTGTACCCAACTGAACGAAAAGATAAGAGGTTGTGACCTGCTTCAGGTTGACTGATGGAAGATATCCGTTTATGACGACCGCCCCAAGATTGGTCAACGATGAGGTTGCAAAGTCTTCAAGGAGTGTCTTTTTGGACCCAAAACCGTAAGTTAGTACTCCTAGGCAACACCTGGGGAAGAAAGAGAGAGGGCACTTTTTTATCATGACGTTTCGAGAGTTTGACTTCCATCTGACAGCTTGTTTTCCTTTAGATTATTTGACAAAAAATTGTGACAAGACACAGTGAAGGTGACTCAGTGGGAGTTGCATGAAAAAGAAAATTCGTTCTTGAATCCACAAGATAGAACATAGAAACATTAATTCTTCAATCCACAAGGACTTGATGGGACAACCCTTGAATCCACAGAGATCACAATATTGCCTTGAATCCACAAGCATAGAGAGGGGAAACCTCAAACAAGTAGAATTCGTACCAACTCAAAATGCCTCCGGATTTACAACGCGTAAGGGTTTAAATAGGCCGAATTTCTGTTAAATACCTTTAACAAAATCAAACTGTTTTAATGGTACTTTTAAAAAAAAATCAAAACGCTTAAAAATAATGCTGTAAAACAGATTTAAAGTGTACCAAAAGAGAAAAATTAACTTAAACTAATCTCTAAAGCATTTCTCACGATTTTCTTATAGGCCAAATCTGATTTTGGGCCACCTCATCCTTCAAGCTTTCGGAACGTCTGGCCCACAAAAACTTTTCACCATTCTCTCTTTTGGAAGTGATGTCTAACATCATACTCTCATCATAATTATCAAGATGAGACACATAGAGGTTCACAAATAGGATCATCGGCCTTAACTCCTCGTTATAGCTTCCAACTGAAATCTGTATATTTGCAAGTTTATAATGATCAAATAATTGCCTTCAAAAACATTTTCTTCATGTTTCTGATTAATCCTACCAAATCATTCTGGTAACTGAGTGAAGGACGACTTCTTGAAGTTGTATGATTGAAATGATGCGACATGTTACCAAAGTCCAAGGTCAAATCCTACTCTCCTGATTTATCTTCTGAAATGGAATGAATCAAAACGGCATAGCGTCTCATTTATAACCTCAGTTTGGGAGTGACAATGGATAAAATCTCTTGGAAAGTTCAAATCGCTTACAGAGATCAAATCTTCTTATTGATGCTTCTGTCCAACTGAGATTTTCTTTCTTCATACATTCAGTAATAGATATGATGCTAGAAGCAGAATTTTTCAGAAATTTATGCTACAGATGGTTCAATATATAAAAACTATGCACCAGATTGATGGCCAATTTTGGGAGCCTTCTAAAAACAATTTGGTAAAATTCTTTGGGTTGATCCCGAAAAAATCATATTTCCAGTGATGAAGTTAAATTTTTGAAAATTTACGTGTAGCTGATTCTGCTGTAAAACTCTCAAAACCTCTTTCAAATAAAACATATGTTCTTCTAGACCTTTGTAACCGAATGTATAACTGAAACAAGAGACAAAATACTTTTTGATATAGAAATTCATTAGGCTCATCATCCTCATATTAGACAAGGCAAACAATGCAAATGATTTGAAAAAAGCATGCAATTGTTTGAGAAAAAAAATTCCATCTCTCACATGAACAGATCTTGATTTGAAGAGAACTACTGTCTGAGTCAATTTTTGAGAAATATTTGGATCTATAGATACTATGCCAAACATATCATCCAGAACTGGATAATAAAAACCATACTCTCTCTTTCCAACATGTAATGCCCATGGATTCGTAATGTCTTTTAAACCTTTTCATAAAAAAATCTTATATCATGTGAATTTCTATTCTTTTCAAAATTCATATTGAAAGTCAGGTAGGCTTGTTATTGGAACTGAATCATTATGTTCTCCAGTGTCACAAAGGGTCATAGTAATACGAATCTAAAATAATATAAGAGTTAAAAAAGCATTTGGTAATTGTTGATCACTCGCATATGAAGTTTGAACACTGATATGTTCTTATATTTTTTTCTAAATTTTTCTAAAATCTTCCTTATTTTGAACTGACATAACATTATTTTCAACTGACATAGAAATCACTCTCCTTCATTGGGCATAAAATCATTTTCTCACCAGTTCTATAAAATAAATAGTGATTCTTCTTGTAATGAAATGTGGCATCAATGTCAAACCGCCAAGACCTTTCTAAAATCATGTGACAGGTACTCATGTCAACTAAATCACATTGAACTTCAAAATATTTTTTACCAACTGAATATTTTAACAAATAAGTTTATGAAATATTTATTTCAAAGTTCTTTTTTATCAACCCAATATTAAAAATATGAGGGTGCCTCTCAATCTTTAGTCCTAATTTTTTAACCATAGTTGAATGTAGAATGGTAGTCCTCAATCTAGTATGCTGGAGATCCCGCAACACATTTGGAGAGGAAGAAAGAACTTTATTGAATAAAAAATGTTGGAAATAGAGAAAAAATCTCGTCACAAAGGATGGAGGGGAGAACGGCGGAAACCACCTCAAGATTCATTCAACTGTAACCCTCATTATATAGGGAGTAATGATACACAACTTTACCAAAACACTCTCAACTAATTACATTATTTCCCTACGATACATAATTAGTTGAGGGTGTTTTGGTAAAAGTTGTGTACCGTTACTCCCTATATAATGGGGTTACAGTCATGAATCTTGAGGCGGTTTCTGCCGTTCTCCCCTCCGTCCTTCGTGACGGGGTTTTTTCTCTATTTCCAACATGGTATCAGAGCGGGTTTGTTCCGCTAAGGTTCGTCCGCTCTGTCCAACTTCTGTCTGGGGGAGTGCCATCGCCTCCACCACTGTTGCTGCGGCCTCTGTTTGGCGTCTCCTACCTGAGAGAGCGTCACTGCTGCTGCTGCCAGCTCTGTTCCGCGTCGGTTCTGCTCGACGTCGCTTGTCTAGGGGAGCGTCGACGCCACCACTAACATCTGGCGACAGACAGGTTACAGGTTAGGGTTTCAAACCCCTCTTTGTTCGGCGAGGCCTTCCACCTCTGCCGAGTATCCTTCCGGCGAGGCCTTACGCCTCTGCCGAGTATCTTTCCGGCGAGGCATTCCGTCTCTGCTGAGTATCTTTCCGACGAGGCACTCTGCCTCTGCCGAGTGTCTTTGCGGCGAGGCCTTCCGCCTCTGCCGAGTTTCTTTCTGGCGTCATCTTGATGCACTTATTGCGCCATTGGAGGCATGTTATCTTTCCGCCGTTTAAAGGCGTGATATCCTGCCATTTCGAGCAGGTTTTCTTTCCGCCATTTAGAGCGGTTATACTTTCGTCAGTCCTCTAATCTAGGACGACGAGTTCACTGTCATCTCCTCTTCCGACGAGGTTCTTTGCCGGCGAGGCAGTTCTACGACGAGAGAGCACTGATCTTCATCTGTCATTTGACAGTATATTTGAGTTCATCAGTAGCAGGTTTGTCAACGACATCTTCAAATTCATTGCCGTCATTTCTGTCTGCATCAAGCCTTCTGTCTAGAGGCTGAATAAATATCTAGGTCTATCCAGTGTCGTACTCCATGTTCCTTAGTTTGTCTCCTTCTATTCAGCATTAGTTCTATGTCTTCCCTAGTCTGGTGACCAAAGTTCTCCACAGTTCACATTGCTATAGTCTATTTTTTCTGGTGTTGTCTGCTCACCTCTACTTTCGTCGAAATGGTCTTCACCTTCCAGTTCCTCTGCGAGCTCATTACTCGATCGGTGGGAGGGGTGCTGAGATGCACCTCTCCTGAGAGCTAAGCCCCATCATCAAATCAATTGTAATAGCTGAGAGTCTTTGCGTCAGATTTTGACACTATGCAGATTTCCAAGATGGTTGTCCTCGCGGCTTCCATCATAGGCAAGTCTAGTCTGGGAAAGCACTTGTCTCAAGGCAGTTTGTGGATATGGCTCGAATAAGGATAGAGGGCCTACTCGCAGCATTTCTGAAGCTTGTTGGTACTGGAAAGCAGCATACCTTTGTTGAGATGGAAAGTGTATGCTATGTCTACCAGCCGATTGAAGCTCTCTAATACTCGTAACAAACAAGCAGAGCAACATTCTTGAAGATCTGGAGACACTGAAACTTTTATCAAAACTTGTGTCTGAGTATGCTTCCTATCTTGATGAAGAAGGTATCTGCACAAGTGCATTTGATCTGTTTTTTTGCCTTTGATGAAGCTATCTCTCTTGGAAACAAGGAGAATGCAACTGTTACTCAGGTCAGGCAATATTGTGAAATGGAGAGTCATGATGTGAAGCTTGGAAATCCGTCTTGATGTCAGTCACCTCTTATGCATTGGGGATTTTTATGATTTCTAAATCTCCATGGTATCTTCTCCCTCTGGCTTGGGCATGGACTGGCACAGCAGTGACAGGGTTTTTTGTGATAGGCCATGACTGCGCTCACAAGTCATTTTCGCGCAATAAATTAGTGGAAGATATTGTTGGAACTTGGCGTTCTTGCCCCTCATATATCCTTATGAACCATGGCGATTTAAGCATGATCAACACCATGCCAAGACGAACATGCTACAAGAGGACACTGCTTGGCATCCTGTGAGAAGAGAAGAATTTGATTCTCAGCCTCTTCTGCACTGGGATATGGCCCATTCTGACCTTGATGTCCATAGCTCACTGGTTAGTTTGGCTTGAGCACTGATACTGAATCTTTATCAAGCAAAACAAAAGGTCGTCCACCTACAATGCTCCTCCTAAAGGTCTTGGTATAAAACTCAGTAAAACGCAGCGGACAAACCAGTTTTTTGGAATCTCTCAAAGAATCTGGACAGCAAGTGTACAAGGGCAGCAAGTGAGCTGTCTTTGGGGCATGACAACATCAGAGGAGCCAAAGGTGCTGGCGAATCCACAACCTCAGTGGCAGTCATCTGTGATTACCATCAAAGGGAGAGTTGCTGCAACAACAGATCTTTGTCATCGCCAACAAGTCAGGATGAATTTTTCAAAGTTCATCTTGAGGGGGGGTGTTGGAAGTTTTAGGTCGTAGGGAAATAGTGTAATTAGTTGAGGGTGTTTTGGTAAAAGTTGTGTATCGTTACTCCCTATATAATGGGGGTTACAGTTGAATGAATCTTGAGGCGGTTTCTGCCGTTCTCCCCTCCGTCCTTTGTGATAAGGTTTTTTCTCTATTTCCAACAAAAAACAAGAATCTGTTTTACAAGACAGATGGGGTCCAGTATTATATTATACCCTTGAGAGTACATGATTCCAAGTATTCAGGGCATATCTGCCAATATGAAAGTACAGGGTTTATTTATAAAACCCTCACGACAGCAGAAACATAATTTTTACTACTTTCATTGTAAATAATAACATCACGTAATTTTTCACTAATAGTGGATTGCATTCTAGCAATATTGTGATGATGAGACTGGTCATCTTCCTTCAGTATAAACATGAGCTTCTTCACAACCAATAAATGAGAATGTAAATTTATAATATCTTCTTCTACATATTTCTTCTCAAACTTATTATTCATATTACTATGCCCAATGAAATTCCCAACGTTTCAACTCATTATCATTCTGATTACTAATAGTAAAATATAAATGATGTTCATTGATAGGTATTTATATCAATGTATCATGCACATCTGGAAAGTTCTAACAGACTTTAATAAAACTTGGAAATGTCTATGTTTATATGGTGCATACCTCATGAACAACATGAAAACCATCGAATCTTGAAACCTTGATAAATAAAAAAAGGCTTGAATACTTGATGCAACATAATTTGCAGAATAATACAAGTCCAGTCGTGAATCCACAAGGGACAGCGGTTCACCAATCGGCATAAGCTGTACAATGAATCAGCTCAAATATGGGATTCGTCAAAAAAATCCCCTAATCTCTTTCTCGTTTGTTGGTGGCGGCATTTCTATGATTGCCTTCGCTTTACTCGGATCAATCTCAATCCCTCTCCGACTAATGGAGATTCCTAGGAGTTTTCCGGACTTTGCTCCAAAAACACATTTTTTAGGGTTCAATCGGGAGCCTATACTGAAATGTTTAATTAAGGTGATTAAACACATTTTTCAGATTGAAGAGATGGTCTTCTCGGGTCCAAGACTTAGAAAGAATATCATCAACGGTGCATCATATCATGAAAGATTTTCAATAATTAGAGTCAGGCCTGAATTCATAAGGCACAAATTTTCCTCAATCCTTGAATCCAGAAGGAATGACCTAGACAATCAGTCCACATGGATCATAAAACTCCTCATTTGATGCTAGGAGGCCCTGAAACCTTGTTTTGATACCAATTAACGAAAAGGGAGTTATGTGAAAAAGAAATTTCGCCCTTGAATTTACAAAAAACAGAATTTCAATGAAGAAATCCACAGAACCCTAATCCTTGAGTCCTCAAGAACTTGATGGATTCATAAGGATCACGATATTCTCTTGAATCCACAAGGGGGTGCTTGAATCCACAAACATATGGAGAGGAAACCTCAAACAAGTAGAATTCGTACTAACTCAAAATGCCTCCGGGGTTTCAGTGTAGAAGGCTTTAAATATGCCGAATTTCAGTTGGAATCTCTTTAATAAAATGGATCTATGTTAACGATACTTTAAAAACATTCAAATGCTTTAAAAAGTACTTTAAAATAGATTTAAAGTGTACGAAAAAATTAACTTAACTAGTCATTGATGTAATTCTTACGTCTCCAATTATGGGCCTAATCTGATTTTGAGCCACCTCATCCTTGTAGCCCATCCTTCAAGTTTTCGGAATGCTAGCCAACCATTTTTGGGCCACCAGGGTCAAAAACGTTTTGCCCTTCTCTATTTTGGAAGTGATATCCATCAGAAGATGTAGACCTTTCCCAAAAGGATACTCTGTAGGAAGAAAATTTGAGATTCGACCTCTGGTTGGTGAAAAATGTGAGTTAAAGAGTGTTGATATTGAGGTGAATGTAGATGATTTATTAATCACAGTGATATGAAGCAAAATCCTTTAGTGTTTCAACCCCTAAATTATATTTCTCATGCGCATGCCATTAACCACCACGTAATCACAATGGTCAATCAGAACCAGAAACAACTATTGAGGAGCTGACTTTGAGCAGATGACATTATACGACCCAGGTTCATGTCTAAACAAAAAATCATCAATTATGATCATAAAGATCGATTATAAAGACATCAAGTTAACGCCTTCAGAGATAAACTATGGTTGAAACACAAAATAGATGAATTAACAAACATTCAAGAAAAAACATTTGCTTTATGGGCATGATTTTAACAGCAAGAACATGAGGGTCAGTTTTGTCTGAATGAAAAGCTTTCACGAGAGCAACTAAGTTTCTTCTGAGGATTAATTTCTTCTGAAATGCATTAAAGTTCAACATAGATGAGAAGATGAATACTGAAGAAAGAAGGGTAGGTATCTTTCTCTACTGATATATTTTTTTTTATCATTATCATCGAAACATTGCTGACTACCATTAAACCACTAATGAATATTAAGAAGACGATGCACGAGGCGACTGAATGCTAGTTCTAAGAAATCGGCTCAGATTGCAGAAAATGAAGATCAAGGGAATCAAGCATTGAGATTTTATTTCAATTCAAACACGAATGGATGTCAAATGCTATTTAAAATTTGACCCATAGCTTGGAGGTATAAAGTGAACAAACCTCAGTTCGAAAAGCCACTCTGGGTATAGATCTTTGTAGCTATTCAGCAGAGTTTTTATCTCCTTCCCGTGTTTTACTGGAAGTCCAGACAATGTTGTTCTCAGGACCTGGAAAGAAATCCCGTGTCTTCAGACATGAATGTATCAACAACTTCTTCAAGAGAATTCAAACCAGGGACCTTGATAGAAGATTAATAAAATTAAAAATGAGTATCCTTCCGGGGACGTTCTTTTAACAAGCTTGATTTTGAAACTTTAATGAGAGAAAAGAACGGCAAGTCCATGTTTCATGCAGCAATAGAAAGCCGCAGATGATGTTGAATTAGTGGTTTGACTTGTTTCGTACATGCCTATGTCAATGATAAAGTGAATGATTGTATAAGGACTACCGGGGTGCTACCAAACCGGGGCCTTCAGAGGGAAACCCCATAAGATCTCATTCGGATATTGAGTTTATAGTTCACAGAGAGATTCCTTCGGATGAAGCCATTCGGCGTCAAAGAATGCATCATTCACCAAGAAGTTTTGAAGGACCAAGCACTAAGCGAAGTCTGCCAAAGATCAGACGACATCACACACATCCACGTTCTCTACCTGCTCGACGACATGCCCCCCCCAGAACGTGGTAATAACTGACCGGAAATGGTCGAATAAGAAACCAGAGAACGGAATCATCTATCGACTATTTATTTTCACCCGAAAATGACTCCCCCTGGTGATGATGGGATCGGGACTGCCGGCTTACCTGCTCGTCGACGGGGTTTATGTCGCTGACCTTCGGCGCTGACTTCCTCTTAGAGGCACCCCCGGTCTCCTTTGCCAGGAAGTAACTCCGCGAGAACGCAAAGTCTTCCTCGTCCAACTCCGATTCCACGCCCGTACCGATCGCCCCTTCCGCCTCCGCCATTACAGTTTCTGGCCTTCTTTCTTTCTCCTCGCCTCCTTTTTCTAGTCATGCATTCCCGCCAAATTGTCATAGACAAAAGTGTGGTCGTGCCAGTGGGATCAATTTGAGCCCATAAATAAAAAGCTACCTCTGACTAGCTCGGCCCAGGCTTGCCCGATTTGGGCATCGAAATGGGGCTCATTAAAAAACTAAGGCTATTTCTTTCCGGGCTGGGCTTGATGGACCCGAGAACCAGAGGCCCGTTTATCCCATTCCTTCTATCGATGTTGAATTCATCGGTCCGCCTCCCGATGAATCGTCAATCTCTTCCGACGCGACGTGTCGTGTTCGGGGTCCGTAGCCACGTGGTAATAATTCATGAAGACACGCGTATTTACGAATTTTAGCGACGCCATCCAAAATCTCGTCGACTTCATCTTCTTCCTCCTGCCGCAGTTACACTTCTCTTCTTCGTCTCTCTACCTCCTTGTTACCCTTCTTCGCCGCCGGAGTTTTCTTCTGTGAGTTGCTCTTCTGCTGGCGGAGGCCTGCGAGAAGATCTGCCGCCACTCTGTCCACCATGGCCACCAGAGCAGCGGTAACTGTAAGCTCTCTCTCTCTCTTCCCGGAGCCCAACCGTCCTAGACGGCGGGATTCTCCTTTGACAGCACTCTCCACCGCACCGCAGAAGTGCTCCCGAGCTGCGCCGGCGACAGCGGCGGGCCGCAGGAGCTTCGTGACGTCCACGGCAGTGAAGACGAAGGCCTACTCTTTCCCCATTCCCGACTTCATCCACGAACCTCATGGACGAAGGTCCACATCCCAACCGAGAGAGAGAGAGAGAAAGAGAGAGAGAGAGAGGATGATGGTCTGTTGGGCGTTGCAGGGTGGTGGTGAAGGGGGAGTACGTGCCGGTGTGCGTATCGCTGGGGCTGATCGGGCTGTCGGCGTCGCTGGGGCTGTACGCGGCGAGGCGGCAGCTGGTGTACTCGCCGAGCGTACTTGTGAGCAAGAAGCGCCGGGAGATGGTGCCGGAGGTGGAGGACCCCGACTGGGCTATCGCAGAGGCTGAACTCTTCCTCAGCCACTCCATCTTCCGCCGGCTCGCCCACCTCCAGGACTACCGCCACCCAGCCTCCGCCGTCTCCTATCCCTTCCGGCCCGCCATTCCCTCGTCGACTCAGTAATCTCTCTGTCTCTTTATCTCTTTTTCGGTGTGATGGGGTCAGTGAATAATGAAGGCTGGGTGCTTGCAGGGCTGGGAGAGTGGAGGACCTCAAGACCGTTGGGGTTGGCCCCCGCGCCCACTAAGACGGCGGAGCTGGCAGCCGTGAGGACCTGCCGATGCGGCCTGGTCATCGCTGTCTTCTTTCCCACGTGTCATCTCCCATACAAGTAGCTCGCGCTCTTCTTGTTCGCAGTTTTTACAGACTTTGGATATTTTCCCACTTATACCTATAAACTTCAGTTTTAAATCTTTTTATTACAAACAATAAACGATTTTTAAAAACTTCTAATAAAATAATCACTCATTTGAGGTAACTGTTTTGTCCCCATCAGACTCGGAAGTCTTTGAGAACTATCAGAATATTATTTTATTGTCTCTCAGCCTCACTGAATTATACTTAAAATATAATTTTAAAAATAAACTGATTAAATAACGCACGATTCGTCCGCCGTACACCAGCGTGGAGATTGTAATATTCTCATGAAATATTTAACATTTAAACGCGTTTTATAAAGTTTGAACTTCATAAACATGTGTTCTATTTTCTGAAAAATCGAGAGATCTGCAGGTAAATGAGTATAGAAACATACATCCCAAGGATCGGAGGGCTTTGCAAGGCACGAGCTGAAGCGACCGGCAGCCCACCTCCGGCGGGAAGCAGCTCCGCCGGAAGAAGCTGCCGCTGCAGAAGAGCTCGAGCGGCGGAGGTGCATCCAGTTGCGATCGAAATCAACGATTCCGGCGGGGGTTCGATAAAATACCCCAATCATGCGGGAGCCGACGAAGAGGAAGTCAATGCCCCCCCCCCCCTGCCTCCTCTCTCGGCGGAGTTCCCGTGAGCTCCTCCAGCGGCAATCCCGCGGGCAGCCGACGATCACATCAACGCGGAGCTGACACGGCGGAATAAATATAGAAGTAGCCCAATAATTGGGATTTTATCGACGGATCAGACGATTGTAGAAGGCAAATAATGGAGATCTGGTTGAGGAAGTAAATAATAGTGAGAAGTACATATCGAAAGGGCCCCGGGGAAGACTTCCGGAAGAATCAGAGAAACATTAATGGTGCTTTTCGTAAATCAGTAGTCTTTCTTCATATGGTTAGTAAAAATGCACCACCTTGGATTCTAATAAGCGAACTAACAGAGGCTCACCCTCTTGCAAGGGATTCCCTTGGTACGTCACTAATCGCCTTCGTGATTAGTGATCGCAGACCCTGTTCCTCTCTCTCTCTCTCTCTAGCTAATGGTCCACTCGATGAGCTATCAAGAGGGTGTTAGCTCACTACTCACCAGAAAAAGGATAGTATCATCCTCTAAAAAACTAACAATGAGTGCTAACTTACAAAACTCACGTGGAATCAGCATATTCGTCAGAGACTCATCACAGGAGCTCGGGAGGTGTTTACTCCGGGAGCTTTTACTGTGAAAGAGCCTGGGTTCCCGTGGTTTTTCTTGGTGGGTTCCTTGAAGGAAAAAAAATCCCCCCCACCATTTACTCTATACGTTCAACAGGAGTGTGGGCCATGGGGGCACCAGGCCGCCTATAAATATGGAACCTGGAAGAGCCCCCAACGGCGGCGGAGCAGAAGATACAGGCCTCGAGGATGTGGCAAGATGATGAAATGGAGAAAAGAGATTCAGAATCTGACCTCGGGGATAGGCTCTGTTGTGTTGATTCCCTCAATCTGGAGGCGGGCAGAGTTCCATCCGGCCAGAATCATGCTGCCAAGGTCCGAATTTTGTCTTAAATTTTTTATTTCCCGGCATGCAAGGAGATATTTGCTTCTGTGAGCATACTATATCAGACATGATTGGCGTAAAAATAGAAGTTCGACTCTAACCAGGATTGAAAGAAATTCGAGCATGGACGATTTCTCCATTGTTTCCACAAGGCGTTGAATGATGAATTTATGGGTTGTTTTGCTTCGCGCAGGATGGGTGGGGAAGGACACTGCTCCTGGCGTTCCAGGCCATCGGAGTGATACATGGTGACATCGGGACGTCCCCGCTGTATGTCTACGCAAGCACCTTCAGTCAAGGGATTGGCGAGGAAGATGACATCTTGGGTGTCCTGTCCCTGATCATCTACACACTGATCTTGATACCGATGTTGAAGTATGTCTTCATCGTACTGCAGGCCAACGACCACGGTGATGGTGAGTCAAAGCACTCAAAGTCGGTTGTGTGAAACATAAAAGTCCACCCATAAAGCTTTGATAGTCCTACGAGCATGATCTCACTAACTTTGGTCGCCTCAAAGTTGCATCCGGTTAGGAGCTGACATGGGTAGATAAAAATCTTAGAAAAATAGTATATCTTGCCAAATCATGTACATGTACAGAGAAAGGTTTACATCTTTCTCCGAGGAGGTTTATATCTTATGCTGGCAAAAATATCAATTCTGTAGACTATGTGAAATAAATAAACGAACGTGTATCTACCGGCAGAAAAGTGTCATGATTCTTACTCTTGCAGGTGGAAGCTTTGCCCTGTACTCCTTGATATGTCGCTATTCCAGAGTGGGTCTGGTTCCTAATCAGCAGGTGGAGGACATGATGGTGTCAAATTACAAATTGGAAACACCGACAAGAAACATGAAGAGGGCAGAGTGGATAAAAGAGAAGATGGAGACTAGCAATGCAGCTAAGGTTGCGCTCTTTGTCACAACAATTCTCGCAACTTCAATGGTGCTTGGCGATGGCATCTTAACACCATGCATCTCTGGTATGTAACAACCATTCGTAGCAAAAAATGTATTCTACTCTCTCTCTCTCTCCCTTCCATATTGCATACACATCTAGGGTCAGGGTTAGGTCACAGAATCAGCTGATTTCTAATGGATTCCTGGCTGATTACTGAGAAGTCCACTTCCAATCTGTTTGAATGATATCCAGCCAATCTAGCTGACCGAAATCCACACGCATAGGTTACTGTAACCAACGAAAATTAAAAATTTGACGCTTGACTTAATTTATTTATTTTCTTGATTTTCTGTCATTGTTTTTTTGAGCTTCAGTACCAAAAGATACCACCTTTTATTCGGCATATATGTGCACAGTCTCAGTAGAAATATCTGCCTTGCAGTGCTTTCTGCAGTCAGTGGGATCAAGGAATCGAGTTCCCTCGATCAAGGTATAAAAGATATCCATACCATTTTCAGTTACTGAACCATCTGCATGAAAATCATTAGCTTCTCAATAGCATGCTGATTTCTTCCCTGAAGTAAGCTGATAGGCAAGGAGACAGATGAAGAAAAACTTGTTTTAAAGGGTGCGTATACAAATATACATACCTACATGCATGCATGGATTTAAATCAAGATATAAAAGATTTCCATACCATTCTCGGTTACCAAGTACCGAGATGACAAATATTAGTTGATCTGTATCGTGTTGATTTGTTCCCTGAAGTTGGGTAAGAGGGGAAGATGACAGGTGCGAGAAATTTTTTCGTAAACAGTGTCTAATTTTTAATAAGAATATGTGTATTGACTCCAATTTATCATCAGCAACAAACATGAATTCCATTCACAGCTCAAATTGCTGACGATCTTAAAGTTTATGGAGCCGATCATATGAACAGTCTCTCTGACCAATGCATCTTTACAATTTCAAGCTTGCAACACTGATCAATCTTCTTTTCTGAAGGTGCCGTCGTTGGAATCTCCATAGCAATCTTGATCGTTCTTTTTTCCGTTCAACGGTTTGGAACCAACAAAGTGGGATACTCATTTTCCCCCATAATCCTAATATGGTTCACTTTCATTGGCGGAATTGGACTCTACAACTTATTCAAGCACGACGTGAAGGTTCTGCGTGCATTCAATCAAGAGAAATGGAAGAAAAGGATGGATCTCCCTCGGAGGTGTGGTATTGTGCATTACAGGTGAATTTTCTTGAGTACCTCATAATAAAAAGCCTTGTTGTTCAATTGTCTTCCACTTACCCTGCTTTCAAATTGATAGTTGAGAAAGCCTTATGATACAGGTGCTGAGGCCATGTTTGCTGATCTGGGCCATTTCAACCTCAGAGCTGTTCAGGTGTGAAATGCAACTTCTAACCATAACTTCTCCATAAGCACATATCAAGGGCTCGTTCATGCAGACATCTGTATGGCGTATTAATATTAGGCCATGGAAAGCATGGGATAGTGAGCACCCATTCTTTTCATACATGAGGATTGCAGAAGCAAGATTCTTTACCTTATCCTTCATCAGATTATGAGGCATTGATAAGAGTTCCAGTTTGAGCTCATAGTTCTAAATTTTTCTGTTAACATGGCTCGCTTATTTTTCTGTTTCACTTTCAGATTAGCTTCACAGCAGTTTTGTTTCCTTCTGTAACTCTAGCTTACATTGGGCAAGCAGCATATCTTACCAAGTTCCCCGACAATGTCTCAGATACTTTCTATAAATCTATTCCAAGTAAGTGGTAAAGTTTTTCATTTACTATAGGGAATCACAGGTGAATTCTCACAGGACTAATGCAGAGATACCCAATTGACTGCAGCTGCCCTTTACTGGCCAACCTTTGTGGTTGCAGTCGCTGCAGCCATCATTGCCAGCCAAGCAATGATATCTGCGGCATTTTCAATCATATCTCAGTCTTTGGCTCTAGGCTGCTTCCCAAGAGTTAAAGTCGTTCACACTTCTGCCAAGTATGAAGGACAGGTTTACATTCCAGAGGTAAACTACATGTTGATGGCCGCCTGCATCATAGTGACGGCTACCTTCAAAACAACAGAGAAGATTGGCCATGCATATGGTAAGCTAACTGTCAACATAGTGTGCTCATTTGAATCCTCATGATCAAGGAACTTTTCATCGCATTGATACTAGGAGCCAAGAGATGACAGACGGGCAAGACTCAAAAAAAATGCCACTTGACAGAGAAAACACAGCCCCCATGTTTTTTAGAGGGGTAAAATTAACATCAGCTGTGCGGAAAAAATCATAGAGGCTGCGGCATTAAATATAGAACAACCGATCATTATATTTTTTCGGTTTTCCTTTTCTTTTTTTCAGAAGAATGGAAGGAGTCTACCCTCTGAGAAATGTTATGAGTAATTTCCATGGTGTAAGGATCGAAATCGCAAAACCCTGATAGGCTTTTACCTCGTGCAGGAATTGCGGTGATCACTGTGATGTTGATCACGACCTTCATGGTTTCAATCATAATGCTGGTTATATGGAAGACAAGCATCTGGCGGATTGTGCTCTTCCTTCTGGTCTTTGGAGGGATAGAAGCAGTGTACACATCCTCAGCCCTGTACAAGTTCTCAGAGGGAGGTTTCCTTCCTCTGGCCTTGGCCTTCTTCTTGATGAGCATCATGGCCATATGGCACTACGTCCACAGAGAGAAGTATCTCTTCGAGCTCAAGAACAAGGTATCAAGCAGCTACCTAAACGACGTAGCCCTTAATCCAGACGTGAGGAGGATACCAGGAATCGGGCTGCTCTACTCCGAGCTGGTGCAGGGGATCCCCCCCATCTTCCCCCACTTCATCCAGAACGTGCCCTCGATCCACTCGGTCCTCGTCTTCGTGTCCATAAAACACCTTCCCATCAGCCGCGTATCCTTGGAGGAGCGCTTCCTGTTCAGGCAGGTCGGGCCGAGGGAGTTCAGGATGTTCCGCTGCGTTGTGCGTTGCGGCTACAAGGATGTCCTCGGAGATTCCAGGACCTTCGAGCCGCAGCTTGTGGAGCACCTGAAGCTGTTCATCCACCACCAGTTCTTCGTCACCGGAGGAGCCGAAGAACTCTCGCCGTCCATGCCTGAGGCCGCGAAACCGCCGAGCCCCCCTCGCGAAGCGGGCGTAGATCATAAACTCGTCCATCCCTCTGTGGACCTCGAGGAGGCTGCCAGCCGCCGTGTGGTCCCGCCTCGCGTCTCCTCGGGGTCCATCCAGAGGGGGAACAGTGACCGCTCCGCCGGCAGGTTCGCCGCAGCTTCGATCCAGGGGATCGAGGAGGAGAAGCAGTTCGTACAGAGGGCAATGGAGGACGCGGTAGTGTACCTGCTGGGGGAGGCACAAGTGGTGGCGGCGAAGAACTCCCCCTTGTTCAAGAAGATTGTCGTCGATCACCTCTACGACTTCCTGCGGAGGAATTTCAGGCAAGGCATAGAGCTGCTGCCGGTCCCCCACGGGAGGCTCCTGAGGGTCGGCATGACCTACGAGATCTGAATCACCTTACAAGAGAACCTCCCTGCACCTGGATGGACGGGCCGCTGTGGGAGACGGACTATTCTTCTCCATCGATCCGGGAAAGGAAGCGATGATGTTGACAGCAATGGAGATGAGGCCCGCCGGTGGCCATGAAACCTTCCACTCTGAAAGATGTTTACAATAGGAGCATATAAAATAAAATAGTTGATGAAAACATCAGTGTCAATGCTCGGATGAATCAGGTCCCCTTTCTCTCTCTTCCTGTTCCTCCAGGGAAGCTCCCTCCCACTCATCCCCATTTCTCTAGCGAGCAGGTCCCATTGTCTCCTACCTTTCACCCTGCTTCTTCGCCTCCAGATCCATCTCCGCCCCTTCCTTGCCTCCTCTTCCGGCTGACCAGTGCAAACCCACCCAAAGCTCCTATCGAGCTGAACATTCGCAAGTCATGAAGCTCCTTGAAAAGTTGCATTGGCCGAATAATTCTAAACTGATTCAAAATTTTCTTGCGTTCCGTTTCTCCAACAACTCCGCAGCAGGGATCACCTGAATGGGTGCTCCTAGGTTCTTCGACCCTAATAGACTATAATTCTTTACAATCCAGTTGATCCTAATAGTTTTCTATGAGATTTAATATTCTTCAGACCAGAGTAGTTAAGGACGTTCGATGATTTGAAATTTCGCCAAATGATCAGAGAAAGCTTCCAGCCAGTGTTGACTTTGTTAGGGATCTCACAGGATAAATATTCATTGGATAAGAATCTAATTTTGGCACCGATTACAAAAATCTGGCCAGGGAAGTTTCGTCTGATCTCCTAGGAACCAGCGATACATGTTAGGGTTGATCCCTCGAGATGAATCACAGATATCGACATCCATTGTCGGTCGTTGCTACTGAAAATCCATTTACACTAGAAAGCCGATCCTAGGATCTTCAACCCCGCTGTAGTATGGAAACTCAGGCCGAACAGCTATAGTGATTACCTCTGTTTCCATTGCAGGACGGAGCTTTCATTCCGTCTCTTCGAAGATTTCTTCGGAGAGGTCGAGTAATCTCTAGAATCAAGGAACTTGCGGCCTCGTCCCCCTGAGGCGTTCTCCACTGGAGACTTGAGTCCTGAGTCGTCATTCTACAAAAGGAGTTTCCGGCAATTGCGAAGAAGCGTCCGGATCGCGGCTCGGAAGTCCCAGAGGCGCTTCTGATGACGACCCTTTGACTAGGGTGTTAACCAGACTTCGCTGACTCAAATAAAACCCTGTCTAATACAAAAACTTCCAATCGACAGAGCTCCGGACGGCTATCGCCGGAAGACCCGGTATCGAAGGGAGAGAGGGCGAGAGGATGAGAGAGAGAGAGAGAGAGAGAGAACCCTCGACGAGGGCCACAGGGTACTGAGGGAGAGAATACAATCATACGACGACCTCTCAGGTCGTGGGGTCGCCGATACGAGATGGCGAGTTTCGAGCTCCGATTCCTACCTCATCTTTGCGTGACCGCTCGACCCCTATATAGCCAAAGTCCGCCCGTCTCGGCGATCGCCTCTCGTCTAAGCGGTCGGATCCGATGGGACCTGAGAGTTGCCGTACTCTGTCAGTGTCGGGTCCTGCCACTGTTTTGGTTCCCGCCGAATTCCGTCCGCCGCACACGCCTCCCCACCTGCAGATTCCCACATGCGGTTGTCCCGTTCAGCGTCTGACTCCTGTCTGCCTTGCCTCGTTCCTGGGCTGGGCCGACTCTTTCGGGACCTGTTTCCTGTTGAGCCCATTTGGGTAGTCAGGGTCTCAACAGGTTCACCGCATGCGACGAAGCCCTCCGCCGCCGCGGACGATCGAGCATCCCTCCTGGGTGGCGGCTCGCGAAGAGTCCTCCTTCATCGTCTGCAGCAGCAGCCGCTTCCTCGCGATCGCCGGAGCGACGGCGATGCCGTACGTGGCAGTTGGAATCGAGATCAGAAATGTCGTGTTTATTTTCTTTAATCTTAAACTTCATAAACAATCTTCGGGTCAACTAAAGTCTTCCCCCTCGTTCAATCTGCGAACTGGTCAACATCTTCCCCTACCTCCCCCCTCCCTCTCTCTCTCTCTCGCTCCTCCGCCATCACCTAACCTCCTCGGCTCCTCCCATGGCGGCGTTGCTGTATCATGTCTTCTCCTTCGCAGCGCTCTTCTCGTACGGCCTGTACCACCTCTTCTCCGCCAGCCGCGCTCACCTCAAATCTGAACGGCACCGCGACTTGCCCTCAACCAGGTTCTAATCGCTTCGTCTGCAGCCCCCGATCCTCTCCTCCGGGGTCGGATCCCTCGTTGTGACACCCCGGAACCTCTCGACCGGGTTGAACCGGGAGAGACGACGTGAGATGCACGCGACCGGAGGCGGGCATCTCACTCACGTGCCTCACGCGCGGACCGCACGGAGGACTGGGCGGAGCGAGTCACCTAAATCTGGAACGAGCCATCCGGATCTATCGGAGACCTGAACCAGACGGAAGAACCCCTCTATTGAGAAGAGGACGCAGGGAGGATAATCCGGCGATAGATTTTCCGGACGCGGCCGAAGAAGAGAGAGGGAGAGGAGAATAATACGGAGGAAGCTATTCCCCTCTCCCTGTATTTAAAGAGGCCAACTTTATTTTCGAGTGACAGAGAGGGGGAAAGTCGAGGTGAGAAGGGAAGCTTTAAAGGAGAGAGGTCTCGTCGGAGGAGTGGGGGAATTCTCGAGGAGGAGATTACGTGTACAGGTGGCGCCGGTGTAGCGGCGGGACGCCGTTTTGGAGTCGGCTGAGAGCATACGGACAAGAGAGCTGTCGTGTCAAGCGGTAGCGTCAGTGGTTTTAGTGATCAGTCCGCTAGTTTCTTTGATCCCACTCGGTCTTCCTTTTCCATTTGCTTCCAATAGTTCGACCTATCCAGGCTCTTGTTTGTGTACGGCTGATCACTTTACTCAATGGCGAAGTCTTATTAACCCTGGTATATAGACTTCGCCAATTCGTCTGAATTTCGCTAAGGACACTGGCAGTTTCCCTCTATCTAGGAGTGGTATTTCTTCTGCCGATCAAAGCACAAGAAGTAGATGACCTAATGTGACACGTTCCCTCCCAGTTATATTCTAAAAAGGATCAGTCGGCTAGAGAGCGGGTTCCTCTGGGGAGGCAAAGTTGCAGTGACGTAAGGCTGCCCGACATTGACTGGGCAATGGTGGGGGCCGGGTCACGAAGCAGCCGGGACGGACTCTTCACTCGTGAGAAACGGTGTCAGATCGCGCTACGGCGACGGAGAGCGGCACGAAGGGGCAGAGGATAGCTCGACTGGAGGAGCAACTCGCCCGCCTTCTCCCTTCCATGGAGACCATGGAAACGGGTCTCGCGGCCGTGGAGGAACGGCTGGACGCAACGAAGTTTGCAGCGCCGGAGGCTGCAGGCCAGTCTTCGGTATCGTGGGCCGACGCAAATGAGATGGCGTATATTCGGGCTTCCGTGGAAGCATTGGCACCAGAAGTCTGCCTCCTGTAACGCGCTCTCCCGCGTACACAAGAGAGCGGCACGACGACTTAGGTCAAATTACTTGAGCCGAAAATATTTGCTGGTGCCAGGAATGCCAAGGAACTCGAAAACTTCCTGTGGGATCGGGACCCGTATTTTCGGGCGATAAATACGCCCGCCGCGGAGAAGGTCAAGCTGCCGAGCATGTATCTCGCCAGCGACGTGAAGCTATGGTGGTGCACACGAACGGAAGATCCAGCTCGTCCCCCCATCCACTCATGGGAAGACTTTGCTCGCGAGCTTAAGGAGCAGTTCCTCCCCACGAACAGCGCCTGGATAGCGTGAGAGGCACTCCGGCGACTTCGTCACACCAGAACGGTGCGAGAATACGTGAAGCAGTTTGTTTCACTACCACTGGACGTCATGTCGGATAAAAATAAACTTTTCAACTTCATGGCCGGCTTGCAGAACTGGGCGTAGGTGGAGCTGCATCGCCAGGGTGCAAGGGCAGTCTAGTCGGCCATGGTCATGGCCGATGCCCCAGTGGACTACCGCTCCTCCGAACATGGAGATGGAGGCGATGGCAGCCAAAGACGAGACGGCTCGAGAAGGAGCCGCAAGTCGAGCAACCACCAGGGTTCCGACCTAAGCGGGATCGTATCAGCGAGAACGGCCTCCGTGATAATGCTCAAGGACAGCGGTCGAGGAGGGGTCAAGGTCGACCCAAAGCTGATGCTGTGCTGAATTGCATCGAGCTCGGGACTGTCCTTGTCGAGCAAATAAGCCGGCTGTAGTAGGAGAAGAGAAGGAGACGCCAAGGAAAGAGAGACAAACCGTCGCACTTCATTAGAGAAAAATTAGAGGAGGTTACATAAAGGAGGGAGAAAGTCGCGGAAGGTGGGAGTACGTGGGAGAGAGAAAGAGAGAGGGGGGACGACCGCTCATCTCCTATGTAGGCCCACTAGGCCATATTCTCACACTCACTTATATTAGGGATCTTACCCACATCCCAACTTACTTGAGAAATCATCATAGGACGAGATGCTAAGATCCTTTGTAAAGATGTCTGTCAATTGGTCTGAAGATGTCACGTACAAAGTAGAGATCAAACCTTCAAGAATTCACCAACAGATAACATGGAATACTGTCTCAATGTGCATGGTACATTGGTGAAACATCTTGTGATTTATAATAAACATTGTTGTTTCCTTATCACAGTATATAGGTATAGCGTCTTGTACGAAATAACCCAACTCCTCAAGAAGATTACGTATCCAGAGCATACAAGAAGACGTCTCATGCATGGCTCGATACTCCGCCTCACTATTGGACAAAGATGGAGTACACTGCTTGTGACTCGTCTAGGTCACTAGGTTGTCACCAACATAAATGTAATAACCAATGGTAGATTTTTAGTCCTCTTGATCCCTCACAAAATTAGAGTCTAAATAACTTGTCACACGAAGATGCCCATGTCGGTGAAAAACTAATCCTCTCCTAAGAGCATGTTTGAGGTAGGCTAAAAGATGAAGTACAACATCCTAATAAATCTCGCATGGCTCATACATAAATTGACTGAGAAGATTCATAGTAAAGATGATGTCTAGACATGTAACTATGAGATAAATCAACTTCCCTACCAATTGCTAATATTGTTGGGGATCATTGAGTAAGGTAGATTTCTCATCCCAAAACTTTGGGTGGCTCTCGATTGGCGATATATGAGGCTTGCAATCAAGAAGGCTCATCTCTTACAAAATATCAAGAACATACTTCTGTTGGGTAAGAACCACCTCACTAGGGTGGCAAGCAAAATCAACCCTCAAGAAGTACTTGGGAGTCCATAAATCACTGATATCTAAGTATTCCTCAAAGAATACTTTAGTATCCTGGATGCTGGCCACATTATCTCTAGTAATAATCATATCATCGACATAGATGGCCAAAAGAAGCAACCATTGGTGGATGACCGCATGAAGACAGTAGACTTAGAGTTGCAGTCTTGAAAACCCTGTTGGTGAATCAACACGCTGAACTTAGTAAACTAAGCTAGAGGACTCTATTTAAGCCCATAAATAACTTTCCAAAGACGACAAACCTTAAATGATTCGGCCAGCAACATGTACCTAAGAGGTTACTCCATATAAACTTCTTCATCAAGGTCACTATAGAGGAAAGTATTGGAGACGTCAAGTTGATGAAGTAGTCAATTACAATTCACCGCCATAGAGACTAATATGCATATTGTGGTAAGCCAAACCACTAGGGAGAATGTCTCAAAATAATCAATGCCATACTTTTGTGAAAACCCACGAGCTACCAGTCGTGTCCTATAATGGGTGTACCGTCCCATTAAGAAGGTACTTAAGGGTAAAAATCCATCTGTAAGAAATAATGTTAGCACCACACGGCCAAGGAACTAGCTCCCACATATCTTGACGGATGAGAGTGGCATATTCTTCATCCATGGCTGTCTTTCAGTGAGGTATCACTATAACATCCACATGAGACCTAGGAATTGATTCAGCAGCTAGGGAAAAGGCAAAGACACGATATTTAGGTGAAAGATAGTTGTAGGAAACCACAATAATGATCGGATGAGAGGTAAAAGAGTGACATACCATATTCGGATGTAGGGTATAGAATCAGGTACCTTTGGGAAATACAATGAGAAGATGAAGGTTATCTTTGGGAGCTGAACTTGAAGAAGGAGATGAGAATTGATCAAGAGCTGGTGAAGAGATTTGCAGAGAGACTGGTCTATGTAGGGCAGCCGATGAAGAAGCTTTAGACAATGAAAGATGTGGTTGTGAAGACGATTGTGATGAAGAAGCTGAGACGAGAGGTGATAACAAAAGAACTTGAGTATGAATATGACTGGTGTTAGATGCCAGATCTAGGGTAGATACAAGTAGAGTAGTGAGCATAGTTTCTAGTAGAGGCATGGACAGTGAAGATAGTACATTAAAAAATCGTGACTCATGAAAAGTGACATCGACTGAGACAACATACTTTTGCTTGCAAGGTAGATACACACGGTACCCTTTATGAGTGCAAAAATAATCAACAAAGACACCCTTGATGGCTCATAGAGCAAGTTTCGAGAGATTTAGAGTAGTATCTTGAATAAAAGCTACACACCTAAAAACTCATAGAGCAAGAGAAAACAAGTTACCCTTAGGTTGAAGATGTCATAATAGAACTTCATCGTCAAGGAGAGAGGATGGTAGATGGTTGATGAGGTACATTGAGGTGAGGACCGCATCTACCTAAAGATAGTTTGGAACCCTCATTTTCAATAGTAGAGTACGAGTTATATCGAGAATATGATGATGCTTCCATTTAACAACACCATTTTGTTGCGATGTGTATGGACACGTCATTTGATGAATAATTCAAAATTCTTACAGACCTCCTGAAGTGCCGATTGAGTAAATTTGAGTACATTATCTATCCACAAGATTTTTGGTGTCACATACCATTGAATACGAACCACTTGGAGAAAATCTTTGAAGTAGAAAAAAACTTCGGTGCAGTCTTTGAGTAGATAAACCCAAGAAGCTTGAGAGAAGTCATCGATGAGAATCATATAATAATGAAATTCAGAAATAGACACCACACAAGTTGGACTCCAAGTATCACAATGAATTAGTTCAAATTGGTGTTTACACGGTAAACCATCACGATGAGGATATGTAGAGTGAAAATATTTTCTAAGTTGATATGATTTATATTGATACTCAGAAAGAGAAATGTCTAGTAAAATTTCACATAACTTTAAAATATTTGCATGACCAAAATGTCGATGCCATAACAACAAAGAAGACTTTTAAGAAAACAAACAAGACAATCCAACTGAAGGTATATCTAGTATCAACTTATAGAGACCTCGATCAGTCTCTCTACCCAAATCAATTCTCTTCTTTGTCCGTAAGTCCTGAAACACAAAGTGATAAGAAAAAAATATAATAGAACAATAAAGGGCTTTGATGATGGCGCTAATCGATAGGAAATTGACATGTAAGTTGGAAACATAAAGAACGTTTCCAAGAGATATGGAAGAGGTAATGGCGGCCACCTCTTTTGCTAGTGATGGAATAAGGGTGGCCATTCACAATGATAACTGAGGGTCTTAAGACGGGTGAGGAGGGAGGATGTACCTCACATATGGGCTGAGGTACCTAAATCAATAACCCAAGTCTCATTGGTGGGCGAGGATGTTAAGAGAGCGGTACCTACTTAAGAAGACGATGCAAGCGCCTAGACTTTGACCACTAGTCATACTCCTCGAGAGAGGTAGTGATCATAACTTTGGTCGTCGATGCTGGAGGAAGAGTAGATCCAACAGGTTGTCTAGATAGCAACGCAGGAGTAGTAGAAGTAGGCAGTGCCGCATTGGAGTAGATGCTACTAGGAGGAAGCTTGTGAGGCTAATCCACTAGATACTCAAACTTCTGGAAGCATTTGGTCACGAAATTGTTGTTTTTGCCGCAATGCTCACAAGAAGGAAAGCTATTGCGGTTAGGAAGAGTAGCACGCCCATGACCCCATTTATGACCACGATTGGAGGAGACACCATGACCCACTCCAAGAGTAGTAATGTCTTCGGTGAGAGGCAAACTTAGACTGTGAAGCTGATTAAGGAGTGGATTCATCGACATAATAAGAACAATGGGGGCAGAGGCACTAACAATCTACTTGCAGTCGGTAGAGACAGATGGAGATGCTGAAAGAATTTCTGTCTCCATAAAAGGCGGCTGATGTTGAAGCTAGAAGGAGGCGGCGACTTGCAATGTAGTGGTGGCAGCACCAAAAGGGTGGAGAGAACAATGAAAGAGACACGGCAAGAGGTGGTGGTGGCAGCAGCGCCTACAGAGGTGGGGTGAGAGGCAATGGCGACACTTGGTAAGTGCTGCAAGACGACAGAAAATAGGATGGCATCTGACAAACTCAAGCTAAGGTGGTGGTGGCAGGAGATAAAGCCTCCTCTTCAGGCAGCAGCAGCATCGGAGGCAGGATCAACCTTGCTTTGATACTATGTAGTAGGAGAAGAGTAAGAGACGCCAAGGAAAGAGAGACAAACTGTTGCACTTCATTAGAGAGAAATTAGAGGTTACATATAAGAGGAAGAAGGGATGCTAGAAGAAGAGAGAAAGTTGCAGAAGGTGGGAGGATGTGGGAGGACGTGGGAGAGAGAGAGAGAGGGAGAGAGGGAGAGAAGGAGAGAGGGAGAGAGAGAGAGGGAGAGAGAGAGAGAGAGAGAGAGAGAGAGAGAGAGAGAGAGAGAGAGAGGAAAGAGGGGTGACTACTCATCTCTTATGTGGGCCCATTAGGCCATATTCTCA